AGCCCCTTCTATTCACGTGAGATATTTGGAAGAAGCTGCTGGCTCCTGGCTTCAGCTTGACCCAGAGCCTGTCATTGCAGCCATCTGGGGAGTGAACCATTGGATGGAAGATCTCTCCCTCTATGTCTTCTTCTCTCTGTAATCCTGACTTTCAAACAAATAAATATAAAAAAGAAGAAAAGTTAACTTAGGTTCAGATTCGTAGAACTGACCCAATCTGAAAAACAAAGGAAAAATATAATATGCAAGAAAAATAATAGAATCTTAGTCACCTGAGGTAATGTGCATATTACTGGAGTTTCAGAGGATCAAAATAGTGGGAGAAAATAATGGCTAGAAACTTCTCAAATTACATAAAATACATAAACTTAAAGATCTGAGAAGCTTAGCAAATCTCAAGCACAGAAACAAAAATATTACTTCACATCCAAAATATCATAATGATATATCTGAAAATGAAAGATGAAGGTAAAATTCTTCAAAGCAGCAAGGAAGAAATATTGCATCATTTATAAGAACACATCAATTTGAATGACAACAGATTTCTCATCTGACACAATGGAGGCCAGGGGAAGTGGCACTAAATTTTTCAACTGATCAAAGAAAAGAACAATGAGACATGAATTTTACATCTGACAGAAATAGCACCAAATTGAAGGGAAAATAAAGATATTCTCAGATGAAGGGAAACTAAGAGGATTTGTTGACCTACATTAGAAGGATGCTTTAACAACGTCCTCAACCAATAAAGGATAAGTGAAGGAGCCTTAGAATATCAAAAAGAGAGAAAGAACATGATTTTTTTAAATGGGCAAATGCAACAGATTTTACTCTATTTTAGGTTTTCTAAATAATTTTCATATTGTAATAAATTATACAATAATCTAAGGAGATCCTTAATATACATAAAGATATTTAAGATTTATATTATATTATATTACATTACATTATAAATGGTGAAGTGAGATTAGGTTCCAACACTTCACTGAATTTGTTAAAATACCAATTTCCGTAGACTATGATAAGCTATGTATCTATAAAGTAAAGCATAGAGGAAGCACTGAAAAAGCTATATAGGGATACACACCTAAACACTACAGATAGATTATTTATATAATGATATAAAGGGTAACTCCACCAAAATGCATAGTAATTCTGAATGTGTATGCACCAAACAACAGAGCCATAAAATTGGTGAAGGAAAAAAAAAAGAGCTAAGAGAAACAGGATAACCCACAAATATTTCAAAACTTCAACATCCCTCTCTCAACAATTTAAACAACAACATGGAGGCCAGTTTTGTGATTTAGTCTCTAAAGCCACACCTGCAAAGCCAGCATCCCCTAAAGGCAAAGATTTGTGTCCCAGCTGTTCCACTTCCAATCCAGCTCCCTACTAATAGCCTGGAAAAGCAACAGAAGATGGCCCGAGTGCTTGTTGCCACCCATTTGAGACATCCACATGGAGTTCAGTACTTCTGACTTTGGCCTGGTGCATCCCGGCCATTGTAGTCATTTGGAAAGTAACCATCAGATAGTAGAGGATCTCTATTTCTCTATCTCTGTATCTCCCCTCTCGTAAGTCTCTTTCAAATAATAAATAAACCCTAAAACAAACGTACAAACAAAAAAATTAGCTCTGCTACTGGTTCCAGCTTCCCGCTACTATGCATCTTGGTGGCATCAGATGATTGCTCAAGCAGTTAGGTTCCCATCACCATGTGGGAAATCTAGGTTGAGTTCTGGGCTCCCGGCTTTGGGCTGACCCAGTCTGGCTTTTATAGGTATTTGAGGAATGAACCACTGGACGAAATATATCTCTGGGTCTCTTCCTTTTAAATAAACAAAGCTGAATTATAATTAAAAATTCTCAACAATAGAAGAATTTAACAACACTCTTCAGTCAATGGGATCTAAGTGATATTTATAAAACCCATGTACATTGGCCGGCGCCGGGGCTCAATAGGCTAATCCTCCACCTAGCGGCGCCGGCACACCGGGTTCTAGTCCCGGTCGGGGCACCGGATTCTGTCCCCGTGGCCCCTCTTCCAGGCCAGCTCTCTGCTGTGGCCCCGGAGTGCAGTGGAGGATGGCCCAAGTGCTTGGGCCCTGCACCCCATGGGAGACCAGGAGAAGCACCTGGCTCCTGGCTTCAGATCAGCACGGTGCACCGGCCGCAGAGCACCAGCCGAGGGTGAACCAACGGCAAAAGGAAGACCTTTCTCTCTGTCTCTCTCTCTCTCTCTCACTGTCCACTCTGCCTGTCAAAAAAAAAAAAATGTACATGGCCAGCGCCATGGCTCAATAGGCTAATCCTCCACCTGCGGCGCCAGCACACTGGGTTCTAGTCCCGGTCAGGGCGCCAGATTCTGTCCTGGTTGCCCCTCTTCAAGGCCAGCTCTCTGCTGTGGCCCAGGAAGGCAGTGGAGGATGGCCCAAGTGCTTGGGCCCTGCACCCCATGGGAGACCAGGATAAGTACCTGGCTCCTGGCTTCAGATCAGCATGGTGCGCCGGCCGCAGCAGCCACTGGAGGGTGAACCAATGGTAAAGGAAGACCTTTCTCTCTGTCTCTCTCTCACTGTCCACTCTGTCAAAAAAAAAAAAAAAAAGTACAGAAGAATATACATTCAGTTACCATAGCACATGTACCAAAATAAACCATATAAGCTATAAAACAATCCTTAAATAATTAAATAAATTTAAACCATAGTGAATATATTCTCTGACTGAAATGGAATGAATCTAGCAACTAATGACAGAAAGATAACAGCAAAATCCCCAAACACTTGGAACCTAAACAATGTGGTTCTAAATAATCCATGGATCAAAAAGGAGATTTTTAAAATACTTTGAATTAAATGAAAATCATAACAAAACTTTTGATATACAAATAGTGAACTCGTACATACTGAAATTAAAATATCATTAAAGTTTCTCAAAAAATGAAATACTTAAATATAAGTCTAACAATCAATGTACAGCACTTGTATGATGAAAATTATAAAATGTCAAGGAAAGTAACTTCAAATAATATTTCAATAAATAGAGAGATATACTACATTCATAAATTGGAAAATTCAACATGGTAAAGATGTCAACTATCCATCAATAGACATACAGGTTAAATACAATTTAGATAAATTCCAGCAAAGTTTCTAGTATTACAGATAGAGTTATTTTGAAATTTGTAAGGAAAACCACAAGAACTAGAGTAACTGAAACAATTTTGGAATTGTTACATTAAGTACAACAATTAATGTAACAAAATGGGAAGGATGATTCTATTCAACTTTAAGACTTAGTAATGATAATAATAGTTTTAGCTAATAATAGCCATCAAGACTATGTAATATTGGAAGACTGGTAGACATACCAATCAATGGACCCTAAAATAGAATCCAGAAGTAGACCCACGCAAATATGTTTGACGAAGCTGCAAGCACAATTCAGTGAAAGAAAGAGTTCCTCCAATAAATGGTAATGGAGCAGTCGGATACACCTAAGCAAAAAAGAACCTCAACCTAACTTCACATTTTATACAAAAAGGAGACTTCAAATGGGGCATGAACTTGTTGAGGGGAAGAAAACAAGAGGAAATCTGGATCTAGGGCCTAGCAAGGAACTGTCAGACTCAACACCAAAAGCACGATTCATAAAAGGAAAACAAAAGTGAGCCACATCAAAATTAAAAACTTTCTTCTATGAAGGAGTCTATGAAAAGTAAAAGATAAGATACAGCCTGCAAGGAAATAATCACAGCCACATATACAGCAAGAGACTAATATCTAGAATATATAAAGAACTCTCAAACTTTAACAGTAAAAAACAAAAGAAAAAGATGGAAGGAAGGAAGTCTAATCGGAGATGAACAAACAACTTGAAAGGAAACAGAAGATATAAAGATGGCAAGTAAGTACAAGAAAAGATGCTTAAAATTGTTAGCCATTAGGGAAGAGTAAATTAAAACTGCAATGAGGTAACACTACATACCTATCAGATTCATTAAAATTAAAATTAATGACATCAAATGCTGACAATTACCCAGAGACACTGAATCATTTGTGTTTGCTGATGTGAATGTAAATGGTCCAACTATTGTGGAAAATAGTTTGGTGAATTCTCAAACAATGACTCAAAAGTAGATTCAAAATTAACTGTTAAATAACAAAGCAAGCTACAGAACAATATGCACAATTCGATCCCATTTTAAAAAAAAGTGCAAAATCAAATTCTGTTGTATAGGTATTGTGTTTTTATTTGGCTATAAAAAGATGTGGAAGAAACCACAGCTGATGAATAATGGTTACTGTCACAGAAAAAGGGAAATGGAGGAAAATGCTTTTTCCAGATGTGACTCAAGGCAGTCTCTACAGCAGCAGCGCCCAAGAGAACATTCTGTGATGATAAAAATGTCTCAACTGTGCTGTTCATGAGGGTAGCCACTAGCCATTTGTGGCTACTGAGGACTTGAGATGTGGCTTAATGCAACCGAGGGCTGAACTTTTACTTTTAAAGTTAATTTAAATTTTAGGCCGGCGCCACGGCTCACTAGGCTAATCCTCTGCCTTGTGGCGCTGGCACACCGGGTTCTAGTCCCGGTCGGGGTGCCGGATTCTGTCCCGGGGGCCCCTCTTCCAGGCCAGCTCTCTGCTGTGGCCCGGGAGTGCAGTGGAGGATGGCCCAAGTGCTTGGGCCCTGCACCCCATGGGAGACCAGGAGAAGCACCTGGCTTCTGCCATCGGATCAGCGCGGTGCGCCGGCCGCAGAGCGCCAGCCACGGCGGCCATTGGAGGGTGAACCAACGGCAAAGGAAGACCTTTCTCTCTGTCTCTCTCTCTCTCACTGTCCACTCTGCCTGTCAAAAAGAAAAGTTAATTTAAATTTTAAAAATAGCCATATGTGGCTAGTGATTAACTTAATAGAATAGTAGAGCTCTAGAATCAATAGAGATGGATCCACACCCTATTTCTACCCCTTCTGAATTGCTTGATTGGGAGTACCTTGCTGGACTTCTTGATTTTTTTTTCCTCATCAATTGGGATAACGAATTTTCCATTAGTAAAGTCATTGTGTAATCTGTTGAAACATCAATAGTGAAAATTTTTATTTAACACTATGTGTTGTTTGAATTTTCACAATAAACAAGTATTTTTTCCATGATTTGTCTAAAATATATTTTTGAAAGCTAAATCTTCACTGGCTTTATAGGATCTTTTTTCCATGCATAGAAAAAAAAAATTCCAGCTTGAGCATGACTTCCCCCTTGAGCTGTTTATCAGCGAAGGCTGGCGTTGTTGAATTGCCAGGGTATAAACTCAGAAATAGCTAACTCGGGGGTTTCTAAGAGGACAGGCTGCTCTTCTTTTGCCCCTATTTTAAGGACTCTTCAGAGAGTTAGCCTGAGGCACCACTGGACCCTTGCCCTCCTAAAGCCTCCTCTCTTTCCCCACCCTTCTTCCCTTCCTGTCTCACAACCCTGAGATGTTGAAACTTTCGGAACTACCCCACCCACTGCCTTCATAGAGCTTAGACTCTAGTGGGACACAGAGAGAAGATAAATAACCAAATTGCATTTAATGATGAACCCTATGCATAAAAGGAAAGAACATAGTTTTAAAAACACATGAAACTGGTAGGAAAATTGATCAGGGAAGGTGTTTTTGCGAAAGTGACAGTGATGGTTAATCTTATGCTCACCTCAACTGGATCGCTGATGTCCAGACATTTGCTCAGATGTTTCTGAGAGCATCTGTGATTTTCCTGATGAGTTTAACATTTTAGTTGGTGAACTGGGTAAAGCAGGAGATAACCCCCACGTGAGTGGGCATCATCCAGTCTGTGAAGGCCTGAATAGAAGAGAAAGGCCAAGGCAGGCTGAATTAACTCTGCCTGAAGGTGTGAACTGTCACATCAATCTTCTTCCCCCTGGTTCTCAGGCCCTCGGCCTCTGCTTCATCAGTCCTCTGGCTCCCAGGCCTTCAAATCACTTCACCAGTTTTCCTGAGTCTTCAACTTAAAGACAGCATGGCCAAGGCTTCTCAGTTTCCATAATTGTGTAAGCCAAGACCATACAATAAATGTCCTCCTAGATAAATGAATCAATGGATAGATGATAGAAAAAAGAAAGAAAAACAGGAGGAAGGAAGAAAAGGAGGGAGGGAGGGAGGGAGGGAGGGAGGGAGGGAGGGAGGGAGGGAGGGAGGAAGGGAGGAAGGAAGGAAGGAAGGAAGGAAGGAAGGAAGGAAGGAAGGAAGGAAGGAAGGAAGGAAGGAAGGAAGGGTGGGTGGGTTTCCTATTGGTTCTGTTGCTCCAAAGAATGCTAATATAGTAACATTTAAGTTAAGAGCTAAAATTAATGAAGTCAGCCATGAAACGAGCTGAAAGCCTGGCTGTTCTAGATGGAAGAAGCAGCCTGTGCAGGTGCACTAAGTGGGAAGAGTACTTGGACATTCTTAAAGGTGAAGAAGGCCAGAGCGACCACAGAGCACTAAGTGAGGGAAAATGGTTAGAATGGAATAACAACCAGACAAAAGCCAGAGGACACAGCCAGAGTCAGGAGGGCTTTTAGCTTAAGGGCTATGTCCATGTGTGTTATGTGATACAACTTGCTTTTTAAAGAGATCTCTTCTGTCAGAAGTGGAAGGATAATAGCCCTATATTTTATGAATCCCTTCCCTTGACTGTTATTAAAACTGGTTTAAGGGCTCTGTTTCACTTTGCTGCATGCCTAACAGGTCAAAATTTTGTGGCTTAAAACCACAGTGTCTTACCATTTCTCACATTTCTTTGTTGGCTGACCGGGTTCTTATTTGAGGTCACACTCCTGTGGTTTCAGTAACGGGCAGTCTGGGGCTGCAGTCTGCTGAAGGCTTCACTGGGCTGAGCCTCCAAAGTGTCTCCCTTCTGTGGCTGTCAGCTGCTGCTGGCTGTCAGCTGAAACTCAGCTGGCCTGTCAACCAGGGCATCTACCCAGCTTCCTCGTCTGGCATGGACTGCTTTCCCCATAGCTGGGTTCTGAGCAAGAACAAGAAAAATAGAGAATCTCAAGAACAAGTGTTTCAAGAGGTCTTGGTGGAACCTGCCAAGCTTTTCATGACCTACCTTCAGAAAACACTGAAGGTCATCTCTATCGTGTTCTACTGGTCAAGCATTACTAAGGCTAATGCAGACTCAAGGTGAGAGCAACTGGACTGTCAGCAAGGGGATATATCTTAATTATCTAATTCTGCTGGAAAACTCACTGTACCATGGATACTTTAGAGCACATATATTTATTATCACACAGTTTTTACAGCTCAAAATGCATTGGTCAGCTTTTTGTTATTACAAGGAAATTCCTAACATAAGCCACTTATGAAGAAAGGAGGCTTATTTTGGCTCACGGTTTGGAGTGGGCTCACTGTTTCAGTTGACTGGTGAGGTCCGAAGATAGCAATGGTACAGCATGTGCTAAGGAGAGCTGGGCTCAACTCTCAGGATTTTATAACCAAGCCTCTAGGAAGAATTACCTTCTGATCACGCACTTCCAGTGGTGTGAGAACATCCCACTAGGCTCACCTCCACACCATGATTGGAATTAAGTTTCCACCCTGTAAATGTCGTTAATTTCTAACTCTGGAAATCAACGGCATGCATGTATTTGGAAGCCATATCCTACTGAAACCCTAACATAAGAATTTCACCATGGCTTGGCTGTGGCCTCTTCTTTAGGGTTCCTTAAAAGTGAGCAACCAAGATCTCACCCAGGCCTGGGGTCTCACCTGATGGCTCAACTGAGACAGGACATACTGCTCACTTACATGGCTGCAGGCAGAATTCAGGTCTTTGTGAGCTGTTGGGCCGAGCCCTCAGCTCCTCACAGTCTGGCATGCAGGGTTGGTGCTAGGTTCCTTGCCGTGAGTCTCTCTATTTGATGGCTTTTTCATCAAAGTCAGAAAGCCAACATGGAGTCATCTAGAAGACAAAAGTTCCAAGCTCATGTGCTCATTAGAAGGAAATCATAAGGCTGGCTCATGCTCATGAGCAGTGAACTTCAAAAGGGTATGAATACCAGGTGTGTGGCTCCCTGGGAACATTGGAAGTCTGCCCATCCTTAACCTACCAAAGGGACTTTCTGCTAAAGACTATAAAGGAACTGACAGAGATTAGTATCTTCAGCATTTACTGGGTGCCAGATATGTATCTTACAGGCATCGGAGTAGACCCAAGAAATATGAGCTTAAGAAACAGGATCTGGCCCCACGTAGGCCACAGGTCAATAGTAAAGACAGACCTTTGAATCAAGAATGAAATACATGATCTGTGTAGAGTGACAAAGATGATGATAAGGAGAAGGCTTGAGAGGGTGAAGCCTGAGCAGGTGCTGAGAGGTGAGTGGGAGTTACTAAAGAGGCTGTACCAAGTCGTGGGACCAGCATGTGCAAAACAGCTAAAGTGAGAAAGCCTGGGGTACTTAGAGAATGACAGGCCACTTGCCAACAGGGAGGACTAGGGGCGGACAGTGGCCTGTGAAGAGTGCATTGAGGACATGTCAAGATGCGTGAATTTCATAGGTAATGAGGTAGAAGGCAGAGCCCTAAGTCAGAGAGAAGTATGACATGTTCTGCTTTTGCAACACGTCTCTACAGTACTTGTGCAGAGAATAAGCCAGAGAACAAGGATGAAGCAGAGGGGCTGAGGAGGCCACCTCAGGCATCTACCCATGGTTAACCGAGGCCTGCACTGAGGGCACAGCTGTGGGAAAAGGAAGGGTGGACACGTATCCAAGACAGCTGGAGATACGATCAACAGGAGGTGCTAACTGCTTATAGGAGATGGAGAAAGAGTTTCGCGGGGGAAGGAAGCAAGAGGCAAGAATCCAGGCTGCATCTGGGTTTTGAACCAGAGGCTGTTAAAGAGGAATAAAGCTAAAATTAAAAAAAAAAATGCTGAGTTAAAATCCAGACACAAGGCTCCAGCTGCCTCTGAGATATTCAGATGGAAATGGCCGGCTGGGAGTTCACAGCTGGGAGTTCACAGCTGAGTCTGCAGCTCCGGAGAACGAGCTGCTGCTGCGGACAGCTGAAACCTGAGGATGGACAAAGCATAGAGAGATGTCTTTTTATTGGGGACAGGCATTGTTTGGGCTGCCTACATCGCCCATCAGAGTGTCTGGTTCAAGGCCCGTCTGCTCTGCTTCTGACCCAGCTTCCTGCTGGTGCACACCCTGAGAGACAGCAGCTGATGATGCAAAACTTGGGTTCCTGACACCCAGGTGGGAGATCCAGATGGAGTTCCAGGGTCCTCATTTTGACCTGGCTCAGCCCTGGCTATTGCAAATTGTCGCTCCCCCTCTTCGTGGAGGAACGACACAGGACCCTGCGCTGTTCTTTCGTCTGCTCGGCCTTCCCCGGGTTTGCTGCTGGTTCTTCCCGGGTTGGCTACTATCCCTTCCACCTCCGTGGAAGGGCAGTTCCCCCTAGCCACATTCCCCACTTCCGCAGGGGAGCGGCACACCGCCGGCCGGCTCTTCTCGGGGGCTGCACAGGTGTTCCTTCAGCTAGATGTTCCCCTTAGATGTTCCCGGTGCATGCCGTCTCTCTCCTCCTTTATAGTCCTCCTCCGCCAATCCTAACTCGGCTGCCCACACGCCGAGTACGCTGCTCTCCAATCAGGAGCAAGTCCTACAGTTTATTGGTTGAACTGGAGGCAGCTGTGCGGAAGCTGTTTACTTCTCTCCCAGCGCCATATTGTGGGAGAGCAGATGCATAGAATAAGTCTTAATTCCAGTAACTCAGTCTAGTCCGGTTTGCTCCCCACAGCAAATGTCTGGAGAGTAAACCAGTAGATGGAAGATATCTCTTCCTATCACTGACTCTTGCTCTCTCTCTCTCTCTCTCTCTCTGCTTTTCAAATAAAAAGGAAAACAAATTAATTAAAACTAAAGACATGAACAATGAGTTCTGAGGGACATAAAAACTTTAAGGACACAACCACAGATGCTAAGAACAAAAATGCAAATAGCTAGAGAAAAAAAAAAAAACAGGATAAATGTTACCATTGTACAAAAGCAAAAGGGGAGAGAAAATTGTTAGACAGATTTTGCTTTATCAGTAGGGTCAAAGGCTACAAAGATGTCTAGTATGATAAGAATTGAAAAATACCAACTGCACTTACAGTGAACTTTTGACTTCCTTAAAAGGGTGAGGCTGGAAGTAGATTTCATTTCTTTAAGGAGTAAAGGGGAGGCAGGGAAATAAATTTTTGGAACAAAAAATGTGGTCAGAAGTAAAGGAAAGAGATAGGAAAGTAAAAGTTGTTGTAAGGTTAAGCGAATATTGTTAGGGGATGTTGTTTGTCATTTTGTTGTGTTGGTTAACATGTAGGGATTTGAACACACTCACAGGCAGAGGGTAAAGTTCCAATAAAAAGCAGAAGATGGGGGAAACAAACGAGAATGGAATTTACATTTATCAAGAGATAAAGCTCTCATACTCATGGTCTTTGTTCAAAGCCCAAATGCTTTCAGTCTGTTTCTATTCCTATACAAGGATATCATGTAAAAAAAAATACTCTTCTTCTTAGAGTCCTCAAATCACACATTCCCCTCTATTAATCAACTCAAGTTTGTCTCCTACTTTTAATTAATCTTGAAGCATAATACACAAAGCATAAAATTCACCGATTTAAAGTAGTTTTACTGTATTCATAAGGCTGTACAACCATCACTACTATCTAGTTTTACAACATTTTTATTACTCCAAAAGGAACCCCTAATCCCTTATACCTCTACTGCAGTCGTTCCTCATTCTCCCCTCTTTCCAGCATGTAGCAACAACTAATCCACTCTCCATTTCTACGAATCTACTACAATTAATCTACTCTCCATATTTGCACATTCTGGGTAATTCATAGCATAGAAGCACATATTCATGTCCCACTGTATCTGGCTTCTTTCATTTAGAATAATGTTTTTGAAATTTATCTACATTATAGCATAGATCAATACACTTCATTTAATTTTATTCTCCTATATGAACATACCATATTTTGTTTATCCATTCATCATTTATGGACTTTGATTTTATGAATGATACTGCTAAAAGCATTTGTGTTCAGTTATTTTGGGTATATACCTAGAGGTAGAATTACTAGGTCATATGATAACTCTGCATTAACTTTTTTAAGATTTATTTATTTATTTGAAAGGCAATGTTACAGAGATAGAGAGAGGTGAGAGAGACACAGAGAGAGAGAGAGAGAGAGAGATCTTCAACTCACTGGTTTACTCCCCAGATGGCCAAAAATGCCAGGGCTGAGGCAGGCTGACACCAGGAACCTAGAGCCAAGAGCTTCCTCCAGGTCTCCTACGTGGGTGGCAGAGGCCCAAACACTTGGGCCATCTTCTGCTGCTATTCCCAGGCCATTAGCAAGGGACTGGATCAGAAGCAGAACAGCCAGGACACGAACTGGCACCCATATGGGATGCTAGCATTGCAGGTGGCGATATTACCTGCTATGCCACAATGGTGGTCCCTATATTTAACTTTTTGAGGAATGGTCAGACTGTTTTCCAAAGTCGCTATACCATTTTATATTCACAATCACATTGTACAAAAGTTCCAATTTCCCTACATTCTCACCAACAGATAATGTTTTCTGCTGTATTTTATTCATATTTGAGAGAAAGAGGTTTCTGATCAACTGCTTCATTCCGCAATGACTGGGGCTGGGTTAGTCCTGAAGCCAGAAATCAGGAACACAATCCAGGTCTTTCACATGGGTGTTAGGGACACAATTACTTGAGCTGTCATGCTGCCTCCCAGAGTGTGCATTGGCAGGAAGCTAGGGCTAGCAGCTGGATCCAGGAATTGAACCCAGACACTTTGATGTGTTATGAAAACATCTTAGCTTCTTGACCAAATTGCTTTAATTATAATTATCCAGCTGAGTATCTCATAATTTCCATGTTTTTAATAATTAATGGCATTTTTTGTTTTTCTTAAGATGTATTTATTTATTTATTTATTTGAAAGGCAAAGTAACAGAGTAGGAAGGAGGGAAGGACAGAGAGAGGCAGAGAGAGAGAGAGATCCTCCATTCTTTGGTTCACTCCCACAATGTCCACAACAGTCAAATCTGGGCTTATAATTCCATCCTGGTCTCAACATGGGTGCCAGGGGCTCAATCACTTCTTCCATCTTCCATTGCCTTCCCAGGTACATTAGCCAGAAGCTGAATTCAAAATGGAGTTGCTGGGATGCGAACCAGTGCTCCAATATGGGATGCTGGCATTGCCAAGCAGTGACTTAACCCATTGTGCTATAATGCTGGGTCCATGACTAATGGTATGAAACATCTTTATATTTGCTTCTTGATTATCTGGGTATCTCTGGAGAATTAGTCTTTCGAGTCCTGGTAAGTGAAGACCAGCATCATAGCACAGCAGGCACAACCACCACATGCAATGATGACATCCCATTGTGGAACACTTTTGTGTCCCCCCAGGATGCTCTACTTCCCATCCAACTTCCTAACAACGCACCTGGTGAAGAAGCAGAAGATGGCCCAAGTGCATAGGCCTTGCCACCTACACAAGAGACCAAAAGGAACTCCAGGCTCCTGGCTTTGGCTGGGCCCAGACCAGACACAGCAGCCAGTGGGGAATAATCAGCAGATGGAAGACATCTTTCTCTCTGTGTTTTCCTCTCCTCACTCCGTCACTCTGCCTGTCAAATAAATAAATCTTTTTAATAAAGTAAATGTTGAGGGAAGTATTGAAGGGACTGGAAAATACCAATGTGATTAAAAAAAATACATATGTGAATCCATAAAGGGAAAAATTCCTAACTTATCTTAAATATCTACCCAACAAAAAGTACAACAGAGCTAACATCATTTTTAGTGGTAAGAAATCAGATGCTTTTTCACCACAACACAGGACAAAGCAAAAACATTCTCTTTAAACTATTCCTTTTCAACATCAC